GGCAGATGAGGGGAGAAGCCTACCTGGTTCTTCCAGGATTTCCTCACAGGACAGCCACATGCCACTTCGGAAGGTAAGGAAGGAGAAGCGGTCATCCCCAGTCTCCCAGCTGTATTGTACCACCTCCTGGGCTGATGTGTTGTTGGTGACACTGCCCTCCAGGGACAGTGGCATGTCAAAGCACTTGGTTGCCAGACCTTTTCCGCACAGGGGCTTGGGCACCTTCTGTGTGCCCACAAACCAGTAGCTGCTGAGCAGGGATGTTGTGGAGAGGCTGAGTGATAGCATGCTGAGGACGGCAGATACGAATGTCCGCTGGCCAGAGGAGCCCTTCGTGAGTGCCATCTGCAACACACAAACAGAAGGGTGGCGAGGGGCTAGGGGGCTGGAGAGCCGGGGGCGGGGGCGTGCTCCCTCTCCTTCACTCAGCGCTTTCTCCCGAGGCCTAGCTGAGAGGTCTGCTTGAAGCTGAACCTTGTGTGGTTCCTACAGAAAAGCAATAGTGATTAGCTCAGATGGAGTCAAGACGGCTGGGCTCTGCGCAGGACACATGGTGGAGAGGTAAAGGTGCGCCACCAGAGGGCACCATCACGAGGGACGCGCAAGCCAGACTGAGTTGGACGCGTGTCGAAATCTGTTTCTGCTTCAAGGTGAACGTGTCCACGTGGCCTCTGGCAAACACGAGTGTGTGTGTGTGTGTGTGTGTGTGTGTGTGCACGCGCGTGCATGCGCCTTTGGGGAAGACCCCAGAAGGACCCCACAGGCAGCACGTGTTCTGAGCAGCAGAAATGGATTTGTCTGCAGCCACCAAATCATCCCCTCGGATGGCCAGAGACAGCAAGAGAGAGCGAAAGTGCACTACAACCACTGCTGCTGCCTGGAACCCTCCCCTCTGCAGCTGGTCCGGAGCACCAAGCGCTGTAGGAAGTTCCCCTCGCTGGCCCCTGGGGAGAGCTTCAAGGACTCGGTTTTTACTTCTCCATCGTCTTTTACATTTATCTGCAGTCCTACTTTACTTCCCCTTGAGACTTCAAATTGCTCGAGGTAGCAAACACGTCTTTTTCACTTTTGTCTTCCCAAAGCATCTTGTGCAGCGTTTTTTGCACATTACGCATTCACTCCGGAAGTGATTGTTAAATTGAGGATGGTTTGAGCAAGCACCCAAGAGCGACAACCTCAGTCAGACTGTGGCTAAGCCGTGGCGGCTGTCATCTGCAGGGCTTAGAGAAGCAACCGGGCGCACCCACAGTGGTGATTATTTTTGGTGGTGTCTTCTTTGGAAGGTAGCAGCACTGACTTGCAGAGCTATTTGTTATTGTAACAGAGTGAGCGCTTGGTGTCCTTTTCCTACCTTCTCTACTCCTTAGCAGCGTTAGTGACTGTTGAACCGCATCAGCCTTAGGGGAGCAGATGGAGCTGTGCAGATGGAGGACAGAGCAGGCAGTGAGCCAGGCGGGCATGGGCTGTTGAAAGCCCTGCGGGAGGAGAGGGGCTTGTGGGTTCTGAGGGAGGTAGCCAGCTGAGTCCAGAATCTCAAGTGAGAGGTGGCTGCGTGGTGACACTGAGCTGCACCTGAGTGCCATGGGGCCATTGGGAGGGGCCATCGCCAAGCCCTCAGTAGGGAGCCGGATGCCACAGTGGTGTTGATTGAGTGGGGACGCACTGTGTGGCACTGCGGCTCTGGCTGCAGCTCCCACTTTCCTCGGCATTGTCACCCATGAAGAGGGTGACCTAAAAATGACCGGTATTAAATGTGCCAACTCTGTCGAGAGGTGGTTTGGAGCCAGATTTGATTTGATTTAGAAAAATAACTCCAATAAGCCCTGTGCTTTGGGTTCTGGAACAGTGTATGCTGTTACACGAGTGCATTTTGAACAGAAGAGAGGTCTGTGCTTAGTTGCTGACAGACGGCTCTTAAAGTAAACCATCTTGAGCTTTCCAGAGTATGTCTTGTATCAGAATTAATCAGACCCAAATCTGCTTAGCTTAAGAGATGTAAATAAAACCATGGCTAAATGAACAGGCCCATAAATCTGCCTCTGTCCTTACCCCCAGCTTAACAGCTTCTACATTTAACACAGAGCTTTAGTTTAGAGCTGTAATTATTTGTCCTTCAGAATTTCCAGGGACTAAAGCAGTGTGTACCACAAACTGCCTGTTATTTGTGACAGTAAGAAATACACAAGGTTGGCATATATACAAAAACAAGAACATAAGACAAAGGGTAAAATAGCTTCAGGAAAGCAATCTGCTAATGTGATTTTTTAAAAAAGCACTCAACAATTTAATTCCATCAGGATTTGTCAGTTCTGGCAAAACTCTTGGTAACCTTGACTGTAGATACACACACACACACACACAACATTAAAAGAAGCGAAGACCTTACATTGCCAGATCCCGGAGATATGTGTTGCTCAGTTCCCCAAGAAGAATGTTTTCATCTTTGTAGTTGTGACAATCCTATTGGTTTTCTTCATTGTTGTGTTACTGAGTTATCTTTTCGGATTCTTTTTTGTTTTCTGGTACCGGGGATGGAACTCAGGACCTTGTACTTGCAAGGCAGGCATGGCACCACTGAGCTAAATCTCTAGCCCTTCTAATTATTCTTGAACCTATTTCTGAATAGAAATGGACTTTCAGGTAGAACATCTACACTGACCTTTCTGTATAAAGATGAAACTAAGGATTTAGGCAATTCTAAAACTGTCACCTCAGGATTAGTTTTCAACAGTATTTTCAGTCTTACTGGGTTTGAAAATTGTCTACTATCACATCATATCACATCAGCTGTAACTCCACATTCAATCCATTTTAAGTTAACATGCATTAATGTTAAGTCAATCTCCAGGTTATTTAAAAAAACCCTACACCGAAGTATACCCACTCTGGGGCACCAAAGTAACAGAGAAGTCGAGAGATGCTCTGAGAAACAAAGGATGAAGAAGACCTCAGATTAGCTCATAGTGCTCCTTCCAGAAGTATTGAGGACAGGCTGGAGAAGCCAGCCCCACTCAAGAATGATCTTGATAATGGATGATCATCTCATTCAAGAGCCTCCTTAAGAATTATCTTCAGGCCTCATTGTACCATTCTATGTTACATTCCCTTCCTCTCTAAGACCCAGATACCTCTTACTGGAAGAACAAATCTCACTTTGCCATGATTTCCTTAGAGGAATCCTGGAGAGAAGTTGTATCTTTGCATATGCAGACAGACCCTATGCCAAGGCGACACAACTCTCCGGACCAGGGGCAGAGTGGCTTCTCTGACAGAGGCTCAGATCACGAGGAAGCTCAAGGGTGCCAATATGTCAGTACTCCTTCCAGCAACATATATTAACAGAAAAACTTGGCAGTGGCATAGGTTAGGAAGGACGACAAATTGAGACAGGAGTGCCTCATAAAAGTACCAGGTGCAAATCATCTGTTGGATTTATCTCCTGAGCAATAAAGAGGGGAAGCTGGTTACCTTGACCATGGTCCGCATTTGGCAGCCTGTCTGGGACGCACCTTCGGCTTAATGTTGTAAGGATGAAAACTGCCTTCTCACCCTCCTCCCTTGCCTTCCCCCTTCTATGACATACTTTTGGAATGCCTCTTGATTAAATGCTGCCTTACATTGAACACGGGCATTTAATAATTGGAAATGCAATCACAGCCCAGCTGTTCCAGGCGATTGCACCAGAGCACTCGCCAATGGAGATCTGGGATTAAGTACAGCAAGGCGAGGATCTGCATTTCCAGAGGTAAATGATTTCATTTCAATCTCCCTGCCAGTTCAGGGGTAACTGGTGTGAGTGGACCGGGCTTGATTTTTCTGGCAGACACAGAAAATATTACATGGCCACCATTACTATTACCGAAGTCCCCCTCCCCTTGAGTAGGGTTTTCCATACATTTGAAGAGGTCATGGTCTCTGCCATGTCGGGACCTCAGGGAGCCTCACACTGGAATAGCTTCCTTGTTCCATGGGTGGTCTTCAGGTTCTAGGCTGTGTCTTCAGTAGGGTGATGCAGCGCCCCCTCTACAGGGTGTGTGGAAAGAGTGTGTTGTGTGGGAATAGAGTGCAGGATATGGACACAGTGGGATCAGGGATACATAACTCCGAGGACAGTACTGCGATGCCTGTGGACGACTGCTCTCCATTTTGGGCAAAGGAATGACAGCCTCATTTTCTAAAAACAAATTATTTATTCTAAAATTTAAAAAAAATCCGACAAATTAATGAGTTGTCTGCTTGTGTCCTCTTGCTACCAGTTACCTAGAAGTACAAGTCATTCTGTCTGTCTTCAAAACTGTACAAATTACTGGATGACATTCTGTAACTTTGCGCGATTCCCTAAACACTGTGTGAACATCGGGTATACTTTTGCTGATGCTCTCCTTTCTGCCAAGAACACCCTCAATCGCTTTTTACTCCCCAAGCTGCCTCTCATCAAGTGTAAAAAAATAACTCATTCTTTGAAAGTGTTTTTCTTCCAAAGACATACAGTTCCTTCTCTCTGCCCTTGTCACATTGTACCTCTCTCACGACACTCCATGGCACCATCGTGATTTGTGCTGATTGTAAATTCCTCAAAGGCCTCTCCTTCATCCTAGGGCAGTTCCAACCAAACACAACAAACGTTTGGAAAATATGGAAATCTCTGGACTTCACCTTGTGATTCCAGGAATTTGTAATTTTAGAAAGCTCTTAATATATCCCTAGGGCATTAACGTAAGACGATTCCTTGTTGGATTCATTTTAGGTGTACATTTAATGAAACCCTTCATATCCTTCCCTACCTTTCCCTCACCTCTTCTGGATCAACCACTAAGTCAGTTTTCTTGCTGTATATTTATGCAGTTAAGAGAATTAAAGCCAGGGTTCCTTTAACCTGAGTGGAATTTTAGTCCAATTCTAGCCAAAGGAATCTCTTTGGATACTGCTTTTGTTACCCAGCATATTCCCTACTCTTTCCAGACTGATGCTAAGAAGCAAATCAATACAGGTGCGCACATGTCCAGGGTGCATTACATGTAACATGGCCACACTTTCTGTTGAATAGACTGCTGGATTCCTGGCCACTGGGTGGCGCTATTTCTCCATATTATTTCTTCTTCCATCCCGGCTTCCCCATCAGCAAAACGTGGGTGGAGGTGGCCGCTCTTAGTAGGAACTGTTCTCTTTTTTTCATTTAGCCCCTTCCCTGCATGCCTGCTAATCTACAGAATACTGTGTGTAGGCCTGATGGAATTCAGGGTTTAGAATGGACTTGCCACTCCGTGGAAGACCTCTTCTGGGATTGTTTCCTGTAGCACATTTTTTGGGTGGCCAGTTCCAGTTTTCAGTGATTCAGTAAATCCTCAAATACTTCCCAGGGGAAATACAGCAGCACAGTATCACAAAATACATGTTTCCTGATGAGTTTGGTGCACATTTTTCTCTGCTTAATTGTATCCTCCTTCTCTCTCCACCCTTGAACAGTGCGCAATTGTTTTCCCTTCTCTGTGCTTACACCTTCCAAATACTTGTAGACGCTTCTCATACTCCTCTCTGAGTCACTGTTTGGCACAGCCCTGTGTCTTCAGTTTTTATTACCTCTGCTCATAAACCGCACCCCTCCCCCCTGCCTTAACAGCCTGAAGTTTTGCCTTCTCCAGGGAGAAGGGGACGGGAGTGGCAGAGTCGAGCATGCTGCGTGAGGAGGCCCAGAGGTGGATTTAGAGCCAAGCTAATGAAGCCTCAGCCCAGAGCTACCCGCTTTTGCTTGGGCTGCTCCCAAGACCCTGTTACTGAATTCAGACTTGTAATTTTGTATTATTTTTCTTCCAGAGGGCCTCCAAAGTGATATTATTTTAGGCTTCTACAAAGCCAGGGTCCACCTCTTCCAAGGTTGTGCATTTTTTTTGGTGGGTGCTTGGCAGGTTGGCTGCTGGATGTGACCAATCTTGGGCTCCCCCTCCCCAAGGGACCCCTGGGCCACAACGTCTAATTTCCTCTTTTTGACAAAACACAAGTTTCTCTGCCTGGCCACAAAAATCAGAGTCCAGCGTCCTACTCATTTCCTTTCATTGTAATTTGGGCATGTAAATATATTTTTTTTCTTCCTTTTCCTTTCTTAGAAGAGAAAAAGTAATTGTTAGTCAGTGTAACATAAATATAATTAGGCTAGGATCAGAAGCTGACAACTCAGCATGGGCACCAAGATGCCACATCTCAGAACAACGTTTAACTTTGGTGTGTTGGACTCTCACCATTTCAGGGTGACTCCCCCGATAGGAGTTCACCTCACCGTTTGTGATATCACAAAGCCGAGAGTTGGGACTAAGCATCTACTAAGATATGTAGTCCCTGTTCCCTGTATGACACAAGCCATATTTGTTAAATGCACAAAGAGAGAGGCGATTATGATACCTACATACACTTTGCAGATGGACATTTGGTTTATTGTGTTGTGAAGACTCTGTAGATTACAGACAATTGAAAGGATGGTTAAGAAAGGACGAAGCCCCCCTGAGGGTATTTATTTCCTTTCTTCACATCACCCACACTGGACCCTTCTTCTTTACCCTCCCTGACCTTAATTTCTCTGTCCTTCTCCCTGGAGCCAGATTCCCAACTCATGTCCCATTAACCAACTCCTTTCTGTGACTCAGTAGACAAAAGTCTGGAGTGGGCTTTGTCTGACGGGAACTCTGATGGACACAGCCTTGTTCTCTGCTCCTGCATGTTTTGATGTGGCCACCTCCCCTGTAGCTTGAGGGTTTGTGTATTATGCTTACTTGACTTTGAGTTACTGGCTACTGTAGCAGCCATGTTTTATTCACCCCCAAGCCTAATGCTGTTTTAATGTCCAGGAGTGATGTGTATAGCATCAGCCGGGCTTGTGAAAAATGGTAGGAAGCCTGTGCAAGAAGATCTGAATAATGAGCTCTACCCAAACAGCCTTCTATGGCTCAAGCCGAAACAGTTCTTCCCAGTTCACACACACGCGCGCGCACACACACACAGGGACATGCGAAGCTGCAAAAAGAGTCCACGGCACCACACCCTCTGCCTGTCTACACAGATGCCCCCACTACTGCAGCAGACAGATTCTCTGACAATACATTTCCTCTCACCTGTGGGAACATTCCTACTTTTTCATGAGCAAAGCTCAGAAAACAGCAATGATCTCATGAACGAGCATTATCTTTACTTCACAGACACTGGGGACAAACATTGCTCAAAAGGCAGTGACAGACTGGAAATACTTCGTCTTCTAAGCTGCGTGGTTTTCTACCGATCAGGGCCCCTCGGGATGATCTGTCTGGAGCCTTTGTGGCTCTCCTTGCAACTTTTAGGTATGGGGCACGTGACTGAGGAAAGTAAGGGAGGTCTTCACGCAGGATATTTTGACCTCTGCTCCAGAGAGGGACGGGAAAAGAATGAGCCCCTTCAGGCCCTTTGCTGTTGCTGACCCAACAGCACTGTTAGCTCTGCATTTTCCAGCTTCTGGCTGATTCTTACCAAGCTATCCAGTGTAGTTGGGTCCACTTCGCTCCAAAGACTCACACAGTAAAGCGACCCCAGCCTTTCTGACATGAGCCCAGTGCTGGAAAAACTCGAATTCCTGTTCAGTGAGAAGGACCAAAGGAAAATATTTGGAGGAGGGGGGCGCTCTCTTGCCTTTCCCTTTCCGCTTTTTAATGGAATTATTGAAGGGCTTTTGCTAATGCAATCATTTCCAGGAGAGGAAGCCGCCTTTCTTCGCTGCCCCAAGCAGCTGGAGTGAATCAGAGGGGCAGCACATCTGCGCATCCTGTGGGGCAATCGCTCACGCGCGGGGGACGTCGCCCGCTCCTCCGCGCCCCCCTCATCACGTCCTTTCCCGCTCGCTCTCCCCTCCCTCCCGACTGTCGCCCTGTCCCCGCCAGCTCCCCTTGCCGCCCCGGGGATGAGTAACGCTCTTCTCTGCCGCGTTTACTACGGCGCCCCGTTGCCTAGCAGCGGGCGCGCGTCGCCACGGCGACACGGTAGGAAGTGTTTTACATTGTTTGGCTAATCCCGCCCTAGTGGCGTTTGGACTTCCAGACCGGGTGGGGCAGGGGAGCCGCTGTTTGTTCCTTGGCCTTCCGGCGTGGGCTGAGAACCGCGACCCGAGGGCCTCCTAGAGCCGCCCTGCCAGAGAGCGGGTCTTGAGGATCTTCGGGGTCGCTTGTGGACTCCAAAGTCAATGCTTTCCTTGCGCCTTCCTTCCCCTAAAGGTCCTGTTCTGGAGGAACCTCAGCCGGGGGCGGTGGCACCTGCCTGCAATCCCAGCGGCCTGGGAAGCCGACCCAGGAGGATGACAAATTTAGGGATTTAGCGAGACCCTGTCTCAGAATTAGAAAAGAAAAAAAATTAATTTAAAAAAGGGGTGGGTGATGAACTCAGTGTGAAGGCCCCGGGTTCAAGTCACACTATAACTGCCACCACTACCACCAAAAAAGAACCTTATTTAAGAGAAAAACAACTCCCTCCAGCAAATCTCACTTCACCCGTGACTGGAGCGCTGCCTCAGCCGAATTACTTAACCTCCTCAGGCTTAAAGGAGGGGAAAGAGTTACAGCTCCAAGGAGGTGGAGGGAAAGCTCTTTTAAGTGGAAAGGGAGGGGAAATGAACTCGCACTGCTACCAGGAATCAGGCTAGACTTCACAGACATCTTCAGTTCTCACTCCTCCCAGGGCGAGAGAGAGAGAGAGAGATAGAGAGAGAGAGAGAGAGAGAGAGAGAGAGAGA